GTGAGAAGGGGACTGAGGAGTATTATGTTTAGTACACATGGTGTGGGGGGATCACGGGGAGAACAGTGTATCACAGAGGAGGGACATAGTGGATCTCTCGCAACTTGATGCACTGATGGACAGTGGCTGCATTGGGGTATGGGTGGGGACTTGATAATATGGGTAAATGTAGTAACCACATTATTTTTTCATGTGAAACCTTCATAAGAGTGTATATCAATCATACCTTCATAAAAAATTTTAAAAAAAAAGAATAGCCTAGACAGAGCATAGTTAAGTCAAAAACCAAGTGATGGCCAGTGTGGCTGGAGTGTGGAGAACAATGGCAAAAGCACTGAGGTAAGACTGTTGTCAGGCAATCCAGTCTAGGAAGATCTCTCTGAATGCTAGTTGAGACTTCAAGCCAGGAGAGGGTTCTTGGCTCTGATGGAGAAAGAATTTGCTAACAAGTCAGATAAGTGTAGGCAAGGAAGGAATTCATTAAAATGAGAGTAGTACTGAATATCAGCAGTGTGCAGGCAGTAAAAAGCAAGGAAGAACAGAAGGAAAGGACAGTTCCTTGAACTCCTGCTTGGCACAAGGCAGATCCCTTGCCAACTTCTAAAGCCAGGGTCACCTGGCATCCAGTGTCCACTTGAATCTGCACAGTGTGGAAACTAAGCCCCTACCACTCCAGGATTTAGAAGAGCCACAAAGCACTGGATGGAGTGAAATTATGTTCCGAGAACTTCCCAAAGCAAAAAAAGGAGATTTTTCAGGCAGGCTGCTGAAGAGCATGATTGTACAGCTGCAGTCCCGTCAGGGTCACACAGCCATTGGGAATTACTTGCAAGCCCAGATCAGAGATCTTACTAGCGCATCCCATCCTTACTTGTCTGAAGTAGAACAGAGAAAGAGAAGACTTGTGCTTAAGACCAGAAAATTGAATGAAGTAACAGTAACAAGGACATTTACCAATGGAGGTGGAGGTCAATGAGTTCTTGTCTTTATCATGAAGAAGGATTCAGTGCTACATATAGGCTTATGCAACAAGGAAGTGAGTACGGACAACCTCAAAGAGAAGGTGCTCTTAAAGGTTTAGGATTTGAGTTTTTAAGGATTTCAAGAATCGGGTAAAGGTCTTACAATGCTTATCTTTGGTCAGAGACATTATGTCACCATCCATAGTCAGTCCATTAGATATTCTGTAAGATAAACTTAAAAGGAATCTATTGGTTCTGTTCTCCCAGATAGTAGTTACCCTCAAGCAGTAGAAACATATCATTTAGAACTGCTTGTCCTGCCTTAGGATAGGGTTGGCTGTTGGCAATCACCATAAAATATGTTGGGAATCTTACCTCCTAACTCCCTGTTTTTGTTTTTGTTTCTTCTTAAATGGAATGTTAGCCTTAAGATGGAGTTCCTCCTGTTATTACCAACTATTTATACCTCGGCATTCTTCAACATAGGAAAAGTTAATCATGCTGCTTATCCCATGTCCCTGCTCTACCTCAAGAGGAGAAATTGGAGAAGTTGGGTTTTGAAGCCTAATGAGCCAGGAGTACCAAGCCTGTCAGATAGCTCTGTACAGCTCCTATCATCTCCATGGTCTGAAATACCCTGAATCAGTGAGAACAATGTGGCAGCCAGAGGCAGGAATGCTGACCAACTGTGTCTGAAGTTGGCAGATGTGGGGATGGTGTCAGGCCCTGGCCGCTCAGCAGCTGACAGCATCTTCATGGCGGCTATCACCCCACAGCTCTCCTGGGGATGAGAGGAAGCTTCCAGTTTCATGGGAAGTTTCCCAAACTGGGCCCAGGATTTAAGCAGGGTGTCACACCTGCCTCAGGTCCTCAGAACCAAGTGACATTGCAGTCTCCTCCCCTGGAAAACCAGCAGCCCTCTGTCTCCCAGGGCTGGGTCGTTGTGAGGACCACACAGGAGAACCCTTGTGCAAGCAGGTGTCATTACTCCAGGCTGTCCAAGTGGGAGATACAGTAAAGAACAAGAACGAGGAGAGCAGCCATAACAGAGTGCTGATGGCAACAGGGACAAACGCCCCTGAGGCCTTAGGGTTGGGTGCTTTGCTCAAAGTGCCAAAGCAGCAAAATCTGATCTTTTCGTTAGAAGAACTGTGTGACAAAGCTGACTCTGACAGCTGACAGCCTCCTCAGACATCACTAGCTGAGCTGGCCTGAGCCCAGCATTCTATAGAAAATCCTCACTGAATAATCTTTCAATGAGACCAAGACCAGATCTACTGTCCACCTGAATGCATGAAAATCCACATCCACCTGGCCCACTGAGGATGGGGGAAGAGTAGGCTTCTCAGAGGTGGAGACTGAGTACTGAAAATTAGTAAAAGTTCACAGAAACTGTAAAGGAGAAGGAAGGGTATTCTAGGAAGAGGTAGCCGCATGTGCTGAAATATGGAAGCAAAAAAAAAAAAGCCTTTGAGAAATGGAGAAAGAGGAATGTAGAATGGTGTTTTCACAAAGTGATATGTGATTTATAACAATAAATAAATACTGTGTTTGGTCTCCACCCCATTCTGGGCACAGAGTCCCAAAACCGTTAGAATTTCCTAAGTGATGAGAGTGATAAAAAGTGTTTTTGTTATGTTAATGAGATGACTTTGGGACTGCACCTAAGGATAGCATCTGGTTGCCAGAGGAACCCCTGGGATGATTAGGGGGTTGGAAATTTCAGTCCAACCCCTTTGACGACCCAGAAAGGGAAGGGGCTAGAGATTGAGTTCAATCACCAATGGCCAATGATTTAATCAATTGTGCCTATGCAATGAAGCCTCCATTAAAGCTCAGAAGGACAGGGTTTGGAGTGCTTCCTTGTCGGTGAACCAGAACTCATCCACGTTATTAGGCCCCCAAAACCACAGAAACAGAAGCTCCTGTGTTTCAGACCTCACTCTCTGTATGTCTTCATCTAGCTGTTTATTCATATCCTTTAATATCTAATGTCTTCTGTAATAAACAGGTAATCTAATAAGTAAACTGGTTTTCTGAGTTCTGTGAGCCTCTCTAGCAAATCAACTGAACTCCAGGCTGAGGGCGTGGGAACCTGTTGCCATGGTCTGACCCACGGTTTCCAGGCCGTGGGTCAGAAGCACTGACAAGAACCTGTGCTTGGGCTTGGGCTTGGGGTTGGCATCTGCCATGAAGGCAGTCTTGTTGGACTGAGCCCTTAACCCTTGGAATCTGATAGTGTTAGAATTGACACTGGCTGGTGTTGGAGAATTGCTTGGATAGGGAAAAACGCTTACATTGGAATTGATGTCAGACTCATAGGTTAAGATACCTTGGTCTTTGCAGTCAAAAAGATGATGTAATAGAGAGGGGTTTTTGTCTGGGTACTTTTGGTGGTGGTGGGTTTTTTTTTATGGAGAAACTGAATCCAAAAGCCAGGCTGAGCTTCCAGGTGAAAATCTACTAGATTTCACCACTAGCAAAATAGCTAGACAGAGAGGAGGGGAATCTTCTATAAAAGCAGTAATGTAGAAATCAGGGAGATGAACCAAACCCAAGGGTGGGAAGCAGAGCCTGAAGAAGTGCCTGATTTGTGCACAGTTCCTGTGGCCAAAGGCAACACTGTGAAAGAAAAGTGAGAAAAAGAAAAGGAGACAGAGCAGTCCAAGTCTCCCTAGCCCCTCATACCCCCTCATCTGATTTGCCCCTCATGGTGCCCCTGGTTCCTGAGTTAATTTTTGATCCTTCCCCTCCACCCTCTCCACCAAAACTCCCCCTCTTCTCAGTGTAGGAAAGCAACCTAAGTTGAAGCAATCCACATTTAGGTTTGAATGGCCAATGCTTCTCTACCTTTGGCCTCTCCTTGAGTGTTAAGTTGTAAGTGTAGTGATCTCTAATGGGTGAAGTTTAAGCCCACTTGAACTGGGAAAGGTACAGAAAGCTTCAATTGTGGCTAGCCTGGCCATTTCCCTCAGCCTGAGGAGGGAAGTCGAGGGGAGAGTTGGAAGCAGCTCTGAAGTCCTAATTCAGTGATACTCATGTGGTTCCCTCCTTCCCACCACCTTTTCCTACTGGGGTACATCTGTAGTTTGAATCCCCTGGAAGCCTCTAACTGACAGCCATGTATACATACACAGAGATTCTGGGAGCTAAGACAAGCCAAACATGGGTGTCCTTGGTCTAGCTCAACTTCAGGCTCAACTTCTTTCTTCCCCCTTATTGACTCTCAGCAAGAACAGAACAACTCGGGCGCAGACCCTACACAGGAAACTGATGGAGAGAGTAGTAGAGGCCATCTCTCTACATCCATCTTCTCCCTCTAGGAGACATCAAACATCTTTTCTTCTGGTACAGCCATAATGGAAAACAGTTTGGAGATTCCTCAAAAAATTAAAAATAGGACAAACTATGATCCAGCAGTCTTCCTCTGGGTATTGTTAAAAAGAAAACAACGGACCCAAAATGGACTCACTTATGTTAGGAGCCCTACATCATCATACCAAGATTTAAAACCTAACCTAACTGTGGTTTCAGCTTCACCCCACCCCCTACCAGGAATGTAACCTTTACTTAGACAACATGGAATTTCCTGGTCAGCATTAGGAAATTTACTGATAGACCCATTCCGTTCCCCTTAGGAGTGTGACCTTGCCTAAAACAATGGATTCTCTGCTAATAATTTCCTTTTTTCCACTCCTTCTCTACCTTTAAAAACCTTTTCTTTTCTGCAGCTCAAGAGAGTTTCCTTCTTCTTGCTAGATGTGATGCTGCCCAATTCATGAACTGATTAATAAAGCCAATTAGATCTTTAAAATTTACTCTGTTAAATTTTTATTTAGCTATACATATCCAGAGGAAATGAAATCGGTATCTTGAAGAGATATCTGTACTTCCATATTTATTACAGCACTATTCACAGCAGCCAAGATATGGAAACAACTTAAATGTCCATTGACAAGTGAATGGATAACAAAAATGTAGTATGTGTGTGTGTGTGTGTGTATATATATATATATATATATATATATAGGTATATTATTCAGGTTTTATGAGGAGGAAAATCTTGATGTCTGCAACAACATGGATGAAACTGGAGGACATTATGCTAAGTAAAATGAGCCAGACACAGAAAGAAAAATATTGCAGCATCTCACTTGAATGTGAATCTAATATAGTAGCCAAACTCATGGGAGCAGAGAGTTGAAGGGTGGTTGTCAGGGTCTGTGGAGGGAGAAAACAGGGAGATGTTGGTCAAGAGGTACAAAGTTTCAGTTTTGCAAGATGAGGAAGTTCTGGAGACCTAATGTACAGCAATGTAAATATAGTTAACTACTGTATTATATAAAGTACTTGAAATTTGCTAAAAGGGTAGATCTTAATTGTTCTCAACACCAAAAACACAAAACAAAAACGAAAACAATGGTAACATGTGAGGTGATAGATATGTTAATTAGTCTGATTAGGGCAATTATTTCATAATGTATACATATATCAAAACATCCAGTCATACAACTTAAATATATGCAATTTTTGTCAATTATATCTCAATAAAGATAGGGGGAAATCAGCAATGTCAAAAAAAAACATTTCCTCCATTCTTCAGTCCCTTCCTTTCCCTCCATGCCTTTCTTCCTTTCTTCCCACCTTTCTTTCTTCCACAAATAAGTATTGAGCACCTTCTCTGTATCAGGTGTTGGGCCAGGCACTGGGGATCTCACCATGAACATGCAGTAGGACTGTCCTCTCTGGGACTTAGAGTTGCTGCAGGTCCTGTCCCTTCTGCTGATGACTAAGAGCACCGTGTGGGTGCTGCCGAGTGGGCCCTGGGAGTAGCATTCTACTCCTTCCATATTTCCAGTCTTTCTCTCTCTCCCATCACCTGACCTTTAACATAGTAGTAGAGACATCCAAAAGTTTTACCTCCCAGGAAACAAAGGAATGAGTTTGCAAAATCAGCTTGCTTGCTTTCTTTATGACATGCACCATCTTGTAACACATTATCAGACCCTCTTTTTACCTGGTTATTATGTAACCATCAGGTTAATCTTTTTTTCCTGTTCTTAGTACAATTTCTGCTCTTTTCACAACTGTTTGGCTTACAGTTCCCTGTATATGCTCTTCCCTTATTACACAGACAGAAAAATGTATTTATGCTTCATATGCAAAATATACTTAACAGAAGAAACAAACCAGCCAAAAATATGAACACCTACTTTTAAAGTTCAGAAGAATTTAAATATGTTGTATTATATTTACCCTCCTTTTGTTTTATAGTCACCTTTTTCTATACTTTCAAACCTTTCACTTTGACTCATGGAGTTTCACAAATGTTATAATTAACTGTCATCCTTTTTTGTTCAAAAGAATCACAGTGTGGCCAGTGGGAACCCTCTGATTTTGGCTTAATAGTCCAACCGGCCCTATTTCAGATATTTCTTGGAAGCATCCTTTTCTTGGATGTTACAAGCCCTTCCCGATGGTTCCCTGCTGTAAGACATGGAATTGCTATACTTCCAAAAGCCATGGCTTCTTTCAAAGAGCATAGCAGAATCCAAAATCTGGGTGTGGGGTGCACAAATCAGTTTGGTAGTAAGGAAAGCTGATTCCAGGTGACAGAACTGAAAAATATTTTTCTTTTTAATTCCATCAGTTTGCATTAAAACTATCCACTTTCTTCCAACTGGAAATTTTTTTTTCCTAACATAAAAATGTTCTTCCTTAAGATACTATATGCTTTCTTAATTTTTAACTTCTCACCAAATCTATCATTGTAACCTCTTCTCTTTTATAATATTTTTTGAATCATCCATCACCATTCAGAAGTCTCTCAATCAATGGAAATTTGTTTGTCTTCTTTTTTTGGTCCAAAATAAATTTAATACTCAGGTGTAAGAAAAATTTTCTAGTTAGCTGTTATTGTCTATACCTTGGCTATTTATAAATGACCGTGTTCTGCTTCAAGTTTAATCCTTTTTGGAAGAATCTGGGTATAAATATGAAATAAAGGAACAGTTTGGTGTTGTAATAAAGTAAAATGATAGCAAAGCAGATCTGATATAAATTTCATGATTTGTTATTGTGGTAATAAGATAATTAAGCATGTATGGAAAAGTTTCTATAAGTGGTGGTAATTATACACCTGAAGATAATATGTCAAGAAAGGGTTAGATGTGGAAAAGTTTATACAAATGGTGGTAATTATACACCTGAAGATAGTGTGTCAAGGAAGGGTTAGATGATGGGAAAGATGGGCTAAAAAGGGGAAGGAGCAGGAAGCTACTCCAAGGACCCACTGAGCAGTTGTGGAATGGAAACTCGGCAGCACCCACACAGTGCTCTTCAAGTCATCAGCAGAAAGGACAGGATCTGCAGCAACTCTAAGTCCCGGAGAGGACAGTCCTACTGCATGTTCATGGTGAGATCCCCAGTGCCTGGCCCAACACCTGATATGGAGAAGGTGCTCAATACTTACTTGTGGAAGGAAGAAAGAAAGGTGGGAAGGAAAGAAGGCATGGAGGAAGAAAGGAAGGGAGTGAATGCCTAATATACGTGGCTCATTTATATTTCCTATCAAACAACTGGGTCATTATGTGACATAAGGCAGTACAACCAATTATACAGTACTAAGCAAAACTTCAAAATGCCATAATTTCAGGAAATCCCCTGTGAAAGCTGTAGACATGATAAGTACCACTGATGGAGCAAGTAAGTCTTAATGATTAAACAGGACCCAGCTTCCATATAGTGAAGGCCACATTTGCATGAAATGTCCAGAATAGTCAAATCCATACAGACAGAAGGTAGATAGGTGATTGCCTAGGGCTTGGAGGAGGAGGTGAACTGAGAGCTGCTACTAAGGGACTACTTTTAGGAGCAATGAACATGTTCTAAAGTTGGTTGTGGTGATAGCGGCACAACTCTGTGAATATACTACAAACCACTGATATATTTGAAATGGTGAATTGTTTGGTATGTGAATTTTATCTCATTAGAGCTGTTGTAAAGCGGGTGGGAGCAGCCTGATGCATGCCAGCTCAAGTTGAGAAGGTGCCATCAAGTCCCATACACCAATAATCAATTATAAACAACCCCAGCCTATATAAATAACCTACAAACTTGGCCAATATGAGATGGTATTATTTTAATGTGGGGCCTAGCCTAGTGAAACTTCTGTAACCCTAGAAAAGTATCAAAATGAATATTATTAGTAAGAATAAGCACAGAAGTGATATAAAAAAAGAAATTAAATCCGTGGTTTCAATATTTTAAAATTAGACTTAAATGTAGTTATAGTCATTGCAATTATTTTATTTTTGTGTTTCTGTCTGCCACTTGGTATGTCAGGATGTTTGACAAGGAATCAGCCTTTTGGATTATTAACATAATTTGGATTGTTAAGGGAATTTAATTATGTTTATGTGGTGATTAGTGATCATTTATGATGGACACCCGGGTCACTACCGTCATACCACTCGGGGATAATTAGTAAAAGCCACTTGGAGGTCGCATTCTCCTTGCCAGTGATTGGTTTAGGAAAAAGCATGTGACACAACTCTCGCTAATGAGGCATGAGTAGAAGTCTGCTGCAGAGATTCTGAAAGAGGTTTCCATAGACTCCACCCACCCACAAAAAGGAAATAAGAGTCCTCTTCCTTTTCTGAGCTACTGTGTCTGGGTATGATAATGATAACGTCACTGTGACTGCCACATTGCTGCAAGCTGGCTGGTGCTGCTAAAACACAGAGAAGGCAGAACCAAGAGAATCACAACCAAGTGGAACTGGAGCCGAGACATGTTGTGCCCACGGCCCACCCCACCTCAGGGCTTTATGTTAAGTGAGGTAACTTTAAACATTTCCTTATTGTTTAAGCCACTTCGAATCAGGGTTTTCTGTTATTTTCACCTGCAAGAAACACAGTCTGTAATCAGGATTTAAATGTAAGAAATTTTTATTTTCTAAGTTTTATTTATTAAGCATGTCAGCTTCATAAATTGAGCATCAGCTATACAAGAAGCTGTGGTGTGTGCCCCTTGAACTTCAAAGAACTTAGAAATAGTGCACAGACAAATTTCAAAAAGGGATTCATCCCCTTGACCCTCATATGAGAACCTACTGGTAACATGCCTTCATGACATATGCCTTCAACTGTGGTATTAACAATACTTAGGTATGCACACCTGTGCTTATGGCAGCATTATTTACTACAGCAAAGATATGGAAGCAACCTGAGTGCCATCAATAGATGGAAGGATAAAGAAGATGTAGTACATATGCATGATGGAATATTACTCAACCATAAAAAAGAAGGAAATCTTGCCCTTTGCAACAACATGAAAAGACCTAGAGGGTATTATGCTAAGTGAAATGAGCCATACAGAGAAAGACAAACACCAAATGATTTCACTTACATGTGGAATTTAGAACACAAAACAAACAAATAAATAGATCCACAAATATAGACAACAGACTGTTTGTTATTACCATAGGGAAAGAGATAGAGGGATGGGTGAAATAGGTGAAGGAGATAAAGAGGTACAAGCTAAAGTAAAATAAGTTAGACATAGGAATAGAAGTATAACATAGAGAATTTAACCAATAATATTGTAGTATCTCAGTATGATAATGGGGTAACTACACTTACTGTGACAAGCATTTAGTAACATATATATTTATCAAATTATATGTTGTACACCGGAAACCAATGTAATATTTACAGCATATTCTAATAAAAAATCAAAATAACAATAATAATAATAAATAAAAGAAAATAAGCTCAGTAAAGACTTATCTGCAGGGATCACAAACACTGATTTCTGGTAGAGGAAGAGGGGTTGGAGAACCCAAAGGAACAGATCGCTAGCAGCTATGATCTCTGTCAGTGACCAGAAGGGACTTCACTAGCCAAGAGTCCCCAGTTCAAATGCCTTCAGGGGCTCAGGCAGGCTCCATAATGAATGAAACTGAGTGGCAGGAAAGGGGGCCTCTGTTTCCAGGAAGCATCTCCACTCAGACCCAGATAATGCCAGTGTGAGGAAATGCTGCAGCTTCAGTATTGCCAGATCTTTCCTTTCTCAAGAAAAGCCAGAAACCTGACTCATGCAGATTTTTAGATTAGGGCAACCAATTCAACTTAAAAAGCAAAAAAACAACACCAGGGACTAAACATCACACATCTATAGGCTGTCCATGTCCACAGACTACCACTTTGTGTCCTCAGCCTGTAGGCTTAGAGCACATCCACAGATGGACATGTGTGACAGCCGAGACACCTGCCCTGTGCTGCCAGTAGGGCAAACATTTCTCTCCCGAAGGAGCTTCTTAGACACGTAGATTCTGAGCCACATAGCTGGACAGACGTGATTCATAGAAGAGCCCAGCAAAATAGTTGGATAAATGATCTGTCTTTGGGACTGTTTAGCATCATCTGCTTAAAGGCTGGAGACTGACACACCATTTGAGCTTCAATCCTCGCCAGTCAGGCTGTGTATGAGTGGCTAACCACCCAGGTGATCAGTCCTCCTGAACTCCTTTGCTATGTTCTGAGGCTTTTATAAGTCAGGATCAGCCATTCACTTGCATTTGAAAAAGTAACAGAGAACAGGGGAAAGACTGAGGCTGCTGGGCCCAGTGAGACGTGAGTGTCAGGAGAGCTGGAGTCTTGCCAAATGTCCCTGGAGCTTCTCAGCACAACCTGGCACAGGCCACGTCCTGCCTCATTCAGAGTATTCCCGGGTTTCTTGAAGAGTAAATCCAAGGCCTGTGAATGCCTCTGACTCAGAAAAATCTGCTCATTTTCATGGGTCTATTTGTGTATTATTTTAAAATATGTGTGATATGACACATTGCAGCAAGAGGAACTTGGGTTAGATATTAAGAACAATTTCCTGATGAACAGATTGTGAAACATTAGAGCAGGTTACAAATGAGGAAGTGGAGGCTCCATGTATGCAGGACTTCTCCACCAAGGTAAACGCCTGATTCTGTCAGGCAGATGCTATCAATGGTGAGGTCGGAAGGTGGTGTTTGTGTGGTGTGTCTCCTCCAGCCTGCTCTTCACTGTTAATAAGGGCTGCCAGTTACAAAGAGTCAACCTGCTCACTGTCTAGGTCCAGTATCTTACCAAGTCCTTATAGAAACCCAATAAGATAAATATCCCCATTTTACAGATGAGGAAACTGACCATCAGAGATGAAATAACTTTCTCAACGTTAATGTTAAAAAAATCACAGAGCTAGGATTAGAACCACCACTGGGTGACTTCCAAGTTCTTTTCATGAGGCCAGGCCATGCAGGTGTCTGGGCAGAGCACCTGTGACTACCTGTGGGAAAGAGACCCCAAAGGTCATATTCAGGCAAGGAGAGCATTATTTAAAAAGTTGTGAGAGCATTGCTGAGACCCAAAGAGGAAGCCATTGTCAGGAAGACAGATAAGATGCCATCTGAGGATAAGACAGAGACATGAAGGGGAGGCAAAGTCAGAACATGGAAATCAAAGGATATCCTTCCAGACCTTCCAGAAAAGAGTTTGTACTGACTTGGACCGTCCAGGAAGTGAAGACAGTGAACAGGCAGTACCTTTCAGCAACCCACAGCCTCTGTCGCCAAGCCTGCCAAACACACGGCTAGGGGCTGCTGACCTGCCCAGCTCAGATTTTCCTCTGGTGACTCTGGACCTGCTAACAGTGCCCTTGGACAATTCTCATCCCCACTGCCCCACCCACCAGCAACTGTCTTTGATGTACAGGAGCTGAAACACTGTCTCCAACCATGACTCTTGATATTTAGTCAGCTGCTCATGTTCATGTTCAGAATGCCTGTAATCATGTAACTTTCCTTCTCCAAAAACGTTTCCCTGTTGTTTCTGCCCTGCCAGAGTCCAGGTTCCTAGAATAGCATCACTGCTACAACCTAAGAAAAGGCAGGTTGAAACCGAGTGGGTCCCTACAGACCCAATGCAGGATATGTTAAGCCACATCACCTTTCCTACTCAACACTTGTGGCTGAAAGGACTTAAAATCACCCAAAAAGCAGCTCCAGGACAGTCTGGAGGGGCGCATTGTAAACTATTCCAGGAGGTGACTGGGGCCTGCATTCCCCTTTTAAGAGGTCCATTTCACAAATTCCAGCTGGCCTTAGCAGCTCCAGACTCTGTTCAGATAAGAAATTTGAGGAAACAACACAACCGCAAGCACACAGGACAAACTCACTTGGCTGGATGTATAGCTGTTTCTCTAGAACTGATATCCAATCCCTTTAAATTCAAAACTTCCTGGAAGCTCTGACCTCAAAGATCAAACCTTCCCTGCTGGTCAATGCTGTTGGGAGTTTCTTTCATTCCATCTGTACTTTCCTGAATCCCACTCCTCTACAATAAGGGCAGAAGGAGAAAAATAAAGCAGAAATTAAATAAACAAACAAAACAGAACTTTTCTTTTCTCTGATTGGTCTTACCTTGGCCAGGGCAATCAATGAACGCAGGAACACATCTTCCTGAAATTACTCATCTCACCCCACCCTCCATCCACTATGGAAAAAGCCAGGGCTGACTAATTTGTAACTCCAGTGAGGGGTTAAAGTCTCCAAAGCCTTCTGCGAGTTTGGCTTAGGGATTAACAGAATTCTGAAGAATGTTTTGGATTTTAGGTTCATTTGCTTATCCCACAATTACCTTCTATTTTCTAGGTGCTGACTTAGAAGTGGGGGAGGGCTCCATCAATGACTAGAGCCCAGCCCCTGCTCTCTAGCTGCTCAGTGTGTAGCAGGGGAGATAAAGGATGAATTAGTGACTAGATAGAAGAAAGTGCTATGTGCCACATGAGAGATATAACCAATGATAACCATCATTTTTATTTGAATGGGCCTTTCTGAAGTCAGTCTTTGTATTTTCTCAATTGGTCCTTAGCACACTTGTGGTAGACATGTGCCATTATTCTTACCCAGCATCCTTTCACCATTCTGGTAAATGTACCCTAATTTCTCACTAGCTAGCCTCCACCCACCCCCACATCCTATGTGAGGCTGCCAGAGCTATGTATGCCCCAGGGTCTGAGGTAGGACAAGTCTCCTGGGCATCAGCCAATCAGAGAATCAAATTTTCTCTGCCATAGTGACCACCTCAGGGACAGGAACATATCCCAATGAGAGCAATGAGAATGTAGGTGGGACTTCTGAGAAAGAGGTTCTCAAGCTAGGCTGCTGGACCTGAAGCAGACTCTGGGCTCCGGGACTGCCACCAGCCTTCTTGCCACTCTTTGAATCTGAGCCTAAAGGCGACAGAGCAAAAGGCAGAGCAGAAGCAATAAAAGAGAAGCAATAAAAGAGAAGAAGCAATAAAGAGTCCTGATGATATCATTTCAATTTTAAATTCATCCATGCCTGAAGCCATCTCTGACCCTAGACTTTTCACCTATATAAACCAATAAATGCTCTTTTGTCAAAAGCCAATTTGGGTTGGATTTTCTGTCACTCAAAACCAGGAGTATTTAAAAAAAACAAAAAAACAAAAAACAACTTCCACTCTGTGGGGTAAATATTTCCATCTCTGTTTTATATAAGAAAATTTGAAGCTCAGATGGGTAAGCAGAAACTGCTAAGGAGTAGCAGAGCCAGGTCCCCGGCCACAAGCCCTGATGTCAGTTTGCAGGGCCGCTTGCTCACACCACAGCTGCTGTCCTTGGTCACAGAAATCTAGAGGCAGCACAGAAACCTTTGGGCAGGGAAGATGAGCCAGGCTTCATAGGAGCACCAGATGAGCAAGACTTTGAGGACTGGATTCAGCCTGTGGCAAAGGCAAAAGTATTATGCGTGATGGGAGCCATATTCATATGCAAGGCCATGGGTATGAGAAACCGTGGGGCACATGGCCAACAGCAAGTACTTGGGTTTGTCAAATGCATTGGGTGTATGAGAGAAGATAACAGGAAACAGAGTTAGGAGCATATAGAATTAGAATCAGAATGTTTGGGGAACTTGAAATTTATCCTGAAGGTCAGAAATTTCCAAACCCCACTAAATCAAAGACTGACATCAAGTGACTGAAACTCAGTTTTGGCTAGCTGAGTTGTACCGTATCTTGGGTATGAGGTTTACTGACCCAGGAAAGAAGACTCATGAGACCCCAGCGGGGAGAAAGAGTCAAAATTCTTGGCTTTGAGTTCCAAAATAGCCATTATCTTGAAACCAGGACAATCTGACAGAATTGAAGCAGAACTTATCTTTCAGGCAAACCAATAGAAATACTGGATAATTTTTTCTTCAGATGTATCCAAGATGGAAAACAAGAAAGGGAATTCCCAGGTGCGAGAAATCAAAAGGGAAGCCAACGATAGCTTGGTGAGCAGAATCTGAAGCTGAGACAGGGTAGCTTAAAGACTGAGGACAGAATTTTAATGTTGATGTGGCAACAGAAGATGAGGCCTTGGGCCCTGACAAGAGCTGGAGTTGGAACAAAGGCCGTGTTGGCTCCCCAGAGGAGGATAGAAAATTCTGCTTACCAGCTGGGGAAAGAAGCAAGAAAGCTTGTCATCGGCCTGGGCCACAGGAAGAAAAAGAACCATCTGTAATAAATTGGAGCCCCAGTCTATTTCTGCACAGTGTAGGACCTGAACTCACATTATCCATCAAGTGCAGGTCACAAGATATTGACCAAAATACAAATAAATTCATACCCAGACAGCATGGTAACATTGGAGAACATCAATTACAAGAAACAAAAATCTTAAAGCAGCCTGTGGAAAAAGAGTATCTACAAAAGACTAACAAACTATAACAAGATACTCATACACAACAATAAATGCCAGAAGACAAAGGAATATCTTAAAATTGTGGCTCTTTTGAACTACAAAGGACAATGAAAATAAGAGTCAAGAGAGTGATGGGTAACCAAGCAGACAGTGATATTTTAAGAACCAGACTGTAATGCAGCACTATTCACAATAGCCAAAACATGGAAACAGCCTAAGTGACCATCCACAGATGAATGGATAAAGAAAGTGTGGTATATATACACATATATAATACAATATTATTTAGCTATTCAAAAAAGGAAATCCTGCCATTTGCAGCAACATAGATGGACCTTGAGGACATTATGCTAAATGAATTAAGTCAGAGAGAGAAAGACAAATGCTATACGATCTCACTTATATGCAGAATCTATAAAAAAGAAAAGGAAAGAAACCAAACTCATAGGTACAAAGAACAGATTGGGGTTGCCAGAGGCAGGGCAGGGGAACAAAGTGGATGAAGGACATCAGAAGGTACAAACTTCTAGTTACAAGAGAAATAAATCCTGAGGGTCTAATGTACAGCATGGTGGCTATAGTTGACAATACTGTATTGTATATTTGAAAATTGCAACAAAAATCACATGATCATCTCAATAGATGCTGAAAAAGCATTTGACAAAATTCAACATCCATTTATGATAAAAACCCTTAAGAAAATGGGTATAGAGGGTACATACCTCAACATAAAAAAGGCCGTATATGACAAACCCACAGCCAACATCATACTTAACAGTGAGAAGCTGAAGGCTTTTCTTCTAAGATCAGAAACAAGACAAGGATGCTCACTCTCCCTGCTTTACTCAACATAGTACTGGAGGTCCTAGCCATGGCAATCAGACAACACAAAGAAATAAAAGGCATCCAAATTGGTAAGGAAGAATTTTAACTCTGTTTTCAGATGACATGATATTACACATAGAAAACCCTAAAGAATCCACCAAAAAGCTATTAGAACTAATAACTGAATTAAGCAAAGTTGCAGGATACAAAATTAATACACAGAAATCTATTGCATTCCTATACATTAACGATGAACTAGCAGAAAGAGAAATCTAGAAAACAACTCCATTTACAATTGCATCAAAAAGAAT